ACTAATTAACAATGCTGGGGGAAAAAAAAGGGATTTTTGTCCCATTTTGTTTTAGTGTTGGTTTTTGTCCTGAGTTAACAGAATGAGGCGGATGGCGAGTGGCATGGGAAAGTGAGATGGCTGACGGTCCATTTAAGGGACAGCAGAGTGCAGTTGGGGACAGTGCAGGGTTCCCTGGGCTCGCCTGTGGCTTCCCTCTGGTGGATTTTCCTCCCTCTGCGCACTCCGGGGCACAGTTCATGCGGACGTGGAGCAGGTGCGCGCAGCTCTGGTTTGGGCCCTGGAAGATGCTCCCCGTGTGTCCCCGCCACCCCCACGTCCCGACCGCCTTCCACACGCCCGGATGTGGGAGCGAGGCTGGGGTGCTGTGGGGTGCTTCAGAGGGTACCCCTATCGGGCAGTCCGGTGAGGCAGTTCAGCATGGGCCTCCGCGGAGCCTGGCTTTGCTTTTGGAGGGTCTCCTGGTTTGGACCTGGAAGGTTCCCGAGAGCGCGTGTGCTCAGCAGCGTGGCAACGTGCAGGGCAGGGGCGACTGTGCAGTGAGTGGGCCGCCAGGCTCCGGCCTCCTCGTGGCTCAGTCTCTTGATGGATCAGCAGTTTGGGCTCCTGGGTGGTAACTGTAGGTGAATGGGCTGGAGGACGTGGTCACGGGGGCTCGCCTGGCACTCTGTCTGGCCCCGGCTCCTTCCTCCTCCGTGAACCCAGCAGCTTTGCCCCACCTCGCCCCCCTCCATGCTGTTCTGCCTTGGAGCCGACTGTGGATCCTCCGGATCTGTGAACCCAAAGCAATCTTTCCTCCTCTCAGTTGTTCTGATCAGGTATTTTTGTCACAAAAGTGGAGAACAACTAATACGGAGTGAAAAGGAGAGTGTATTAAACCAAGGAACATAGGAAACGCTTAGTGTCTGTGAAGATGTTATGTGTTTAGTGTGCAAGCGGCGAATAGGCCTGGTGTGTGTCACGGACACAGTGACGATTGGTGAGACTTTCCTTCTGACTGCTCCATCAGAGAAGGGGAGGCGGCCCTGTGGTGGATTCTTTCGGGTGAGGGCAGGGATGTGAAAGCAGAAGAGGTTCTTGCCCAGGAGGGAGAGCCCTGAGCAGTGGGGAGCCTTCTTCACGGGCCCAGAAGGAGGTGGCTCCTCCACCAGCATTGGATCCCAAGTCCCTGCTCCAGACTGATTGACCATCTACCCACCTTCCTTCCTTCCTTCCTTCCTTCCTTCCTTCCTTCCTTCCTTCCTTCCTTCCTTCCTTCCTTCCTTCCTTCCTTCCTTCCTTCCTTCCTTCCTCCTCCCTTTTTCCTCTCTGTTCCCTTCTTCCCTTTCTTCCTTCCTTCTTGATTTCTGTTGCTCATTTTTACTGTGGTGCTGGGGATGGAGCCCAGGGCCTCCCCCACACAAGGCAAGTTCTAACCTTGGTCCCACACCCTCAGCCCCAGGAGAAGGGTGCTTAAGACACAAATACAACTGAAATTTCTCCCCTTCTTTAAGAGAGAGCTTTGGAGTCAGACATAAGTTTATTTTAAAATAAAGTGTAATGTGATATTTGTTTTGCACCCGGGTGTGGTAGAAAAAATTCCGCACCCATTGTGCATGTTTAAAATGTAAATGACAACAAGGAAATTGTATACCCAGGCATGGTCTGGGGCCACGGATTAACGGGAATAAAGCTTCCAAGTGCCAGTCCGTTTCCTGATAATGATTACTCACTCTTGAAAGCCTAGACCAGTGCTGTGAGCTGAGTGGCATAAACAACAGAGGTACTTTCTCCCCATGGGGCTCGGGCTCTGGGACCAGGTGTGAGCAGGGCCACGCTCCTCTGCAGGCTTCCAGGGGATTGGTCCCAGGCCTGTTCTCCAGCTGGGGTGACTCCTTGCCTCGTGGCAAGCAGCTGAGCTCAGCCTTCACGTGACATTGTCCCTGTTGACACGTCTCCAAGTCCCTCTTTTATAAGGATACCAGCCACACTGGACTAAGGGCCCACTCAACTCTAGTGGGACTTCATCGTGACTGATTTACATCTTTGGTGGCCTTATTCCCGGGTAAATTCACATCCTGAGGTTCTGGAAGTTAGCATTCAACACATGAATCTTCCTTCAGGGAGGTGTGAAACAAAAGTGTTACATTTGTTTTTTGAAACATCAACAATCTTGTGTCCTCTGGAGAGCTCAGCTCCGAGTCAGTCACCAAGATCTTCAGTGGACCAACGTCTTTGAAATGCATGTTCTAGGAAGGTCCGTAGGTGAAGAGAGGCTCTGCTGCATTTTCTGCTTTCCCGCTGCCTCTGTCCACCTCTAGTGACTTCAGCATGCCCACGTAACTTGCTGACCAGCTTCGGGAGCTGCAGGAGAGGCAGAGTTCCATGGATGGTGAGGATCAGCACGTGCACCTCGGTGTGTTTGGAAGAAAGTGAATCTGATGCTGCTCCCTGGTTCCTGCTCTCTCACCTACCTGGAGGGTAGAAAAGTCCAATACAAGTGTTCCAAGGGATATGACAAGGTTATTCTCCTGATGGTCAAGGCAATGCGTTTTCTAAACCCTGTGATGGAGGGACGCCCATTAGTCAGCGTGCGGTCGCTGCTCACAGCTTCCAACGAGCTACATATTTTCACACCATGATCACACCGCAAACTAATCGGAGGGCAGAGAGTTTGTCTTCTGTCTTCTCTTGTTTCCTGACAATATCTCATTATTTGTATAATACAGGTGTTCCTTGACTGCCTAGGGATACTTTTGAGTTTGAGAGCTTGGTCTGTGACCCAGAGTATTTCTTGAGATTCAGTTTATTAAAATATAGTAACAATGTCTTAAACATGACACTATAATCCATACATTGTGTAAAGATAATTCAAAACTCAATCGGTATATGATTTTATATGTCTTTTCTTGTCTATTTAAGATTTGTTCAGAGGTGAAATGGGCAGGTGTGTGATTGTTTGCTGTTGCTGTGTAGACTTGGGCCAGTTGTGAGTCTTCTCTGCTCACACTTAGGTGTGCAGCCCTACCATTGCTTTCAGTCAAAGTGTGGGTTAGTAAGTACAATACATCCAGGCCCGAACATTAATAAATGCCTCAATCTTCATTCTATAAAGACTTTTTCGTCTCTGCCAACTTTGGGGTGGATTCCTGGTCTCAAAAACTTTGTATAGGTAGGATTCTGTCTTTCATTATTTCTCCTCTCAATCACTTCTGCCAGCCTGGCAAGGCATAGATGTTTCCAGTGTGAAGTTTGAGAAGGGTGGATAGGGAAGGAATAGGGCAGTCTTATCTGACCACATGATTTTCTTGTTTCTGGGGTTTGTGGATAGTTAAAAGCTCTTCCGTCCTGGAGCAAGGTCATGTGTGCCATTCCTGGGACCTTGCAAGCCGAGGTCTGCCATGATTGGGAGTGTCCCCTCTGTTCCTTTCCACTTCCTTTAGGTCTTTCAGTAGCTCTTGGAAGCTTAGCACATAATTCCAGGAACTTAGCATAAGCCTCCTGTGCACTGGCTGTATAAGTGGTCCTAGTGCATAAAAAGCAAGTGCCCCACCTTGTCTTCCCCTGCTCTGTGGTCTACCTCTGTTCCTTGGCAAAAACTGCTCATCTTTTGCTGAATCCAGTGAAGTTCTTTCTCCTCTTCCACTGCCTGCTTTAGTTGTATGAGGCTGGGCCCAGGCCCTAGACTCTATGGTTCTCCCCAAAGCCACAAGCACATCTGAGACCTCTTCTGAGTGTTCTTCTCAGATGCTCAGAGGAAAGACGATAGTAGGTCAGTCCTACTGTTGCTTCTTGGGGTGGGACATGGACCCTCAACAAACATCATTCTCTGCAAAAATTGAGATATTCACCAATGTTCCCTGCTATTTTTCTATGATCTGTGCACTCTATGTGTTAACTGGACTGCAATCACAAATTTGAAGGCCTTCCTTACTTATATTCACAAAGAGTCTTATCGTTTTTGCATTTTAACAGCCCAGACAGATAAGAAGGCAAGTTATGATGTCCCCAGTTGATGGATGAGGAAATCCAGGTGCAGAGAGAGTAAGTCACTGGTGTGAGAACAGATGGTGGCTCAGGGGAGACAGCGTAGACCCCAGGTTTCTGGTTGCATGGAAACAGCTACTTAATTTCCAAAGGGATCATACAGCCCTGAAGAAGCTGGTGCATGTTGGGAAAATGGCAGAGTGAAGGAAGGAGAATGAACAGGAGGGAAGGAAAAAAAAACAAACATTTTTTTCTATTTTTAATTTTTTTAAATTAAATCACTGGCCTTTCAAATAACTGCATCTGTGATATTTTATATTTTCATAAAGGGGCCTGGGCAAAACACCCGTGGACTAAGGATAACTAGACCCAAAGGACTCCTTCACCAGTTCTGTTGTCTTCAGCCAGACAATGGATGACATAGGAGACTGAGGCAGGAGGATTGCAAGTTCAAGATCAGCCTCAGCAACTTAGTGAGGCCCTAAGCAACTTAGTGAAGTTAGTGAGACCTTGTCTCAAAATAAAAAAAAAATTAAAAGGGCTGGGGATGTGAATCAGTGGTCAAGAGCTCCTGGGTTCATTTCCTGTAGCACCAGCAACACACACACACATACACACACACACACACACACACACACACACACATTGATTGTATGCAATGCAGTGTGCCAACAAGATCATGTTGATACTGAGATAACAAGTAAAATTCTTATTTCAATTTAATTTTTAAAAATTTATCAGTACAAATGCAATTTAAATCGGAGCTAATGAAGATTTACAGACCTTAAATCTCCAGGAAGTTACCCGTTCAAAAAGCTGGGGGGCCCACCAAACAAAAATCTAGCCTTGCAAGAGCTCCTCCTCCTGCCCCTCCACCCAAGCCCCCCGACTCTCTGGTTTATTTTAAGCCCAGACAGAACAAAACCCTGACTGTTCCTTAACAAGTGAGAATGACTGGCCCAGACACACAGTAAAACATTGTGACATGCGAGCGTGCACGCCCCTAATCCAGATCTCAATCCACACAAGCTTCTCCCTGGCTGGCTGGCTCAACAAAGGGCTGTCTGTGCCTGCTTCTCGCCACGGCTGAGTGCCAGTTGTCTTAAATCCAGTGCTCCTTGAACCCCAGCCGCTCATGGCTGCTGCGAGGGCCACCCGTAATGCCTACACCACGAGCTCACCGAGGACCGGGTTTAAACCAGGGCTCCTTGGCCATTCTCTGGACATTTGAGCTGCATCCTTGTCCCTTTCTGCCTCTCTCAAGCCCCCAGAGGTTCATGGCTCTGGCTCCCTCTGCCCACAGCAGCTGTGTTGTCAACAGGGACAAAGTCACCTTCCTCTGACAAAGTCACCATGCTCTGAGCAAGTCAAGCCTGTGTTCATCTTGGGGACAGAGCCCTGTCCAGAGTATGAAACCACATGGAGTCCATAGGAACTCAATGCCTGCGCAAAGATAGACTGAAGACTGCTTTGGAGAGGAGAAAAGGGAGAAGAATTTGACAGCAGGGCTGAGAGGCATCCCCTGCCAGGAGCTGGCCTGCGTAAGCCCTTGATGTGATGCCCCCTCATCCAACAAGGTGGGTCGTCTCCTTCCATGGAGCTGTGTCATCCTCTCCTCTTGCCAGTCACTTGTTGAAAAATAAAAGTAGAATTGCTTCTTTCTAACTGTGGAAGTGATATGTTTGCTATAAAAATCTAGAACCAAAAGACGATGAAGAAGAAAATAAAAAGCAGATCATTTAAGTTCCCCCACTTCTCCCCTACATACACACTACTGTTCATTTGGTAAACAGAGTATTTTTCTTCAATGAAATATTTTGAACATATTTTATCAGTATGTTACTGATAGTATGATTTTACTATCTGTCCAGAATTTTATATGAAATATGATTCTCTGTTTTACTGAAAAAAATACTGTATTTTTTTTGTTTGCTCCAGAGCTTTGGAGAGGATGCAGTGATGGTTTAAAGTTGCCTAGTAGCTGGAGGGAGAGACTCACCAGAGATGTGGAGGCTTCTGCAAGGTCGCGGGCTCCAAAGGCTCCTAGTGGTATGTAAGGGTGAGCCTTTCAAAGAGATGCTCCCCCCGTGCAGCCTGCAGAGATGGACGTGGGGTCACCCATCCTCCTGATGAGTTTCATCTCTGCATCTAGGAAGTGGCTGTCCAGGAAGTCACGGAGATGGGGTCAGTGCAGAGCACACAGGGAATGCACATTCCAAGTCAGAGAGAAGAGGGTGTGAAAATGCAGGGGCAAGGAGGGCTGGTGGAGGCCTCACCTTGTCGGGCTAACTCTTTTGGATCTGGGAGTTCACGTTCATTGATTGGCAATAAAAAGCTAACCATGGAAAGGGGCATCGGTTGGTCTGGTGATAGATGATGGCCAAGAAGATGGTCCTGGAGACTGCAGCCAGAGAGCTGGTTGGAGGATTGTCAGAGGCTGGAAGAGGGGAGTCCTTGAGTCTGTCCAGTCCAAACACTGTTGAAACAGGCTGCAGAGCCAGAGGACGGCGTGGCCCGATGCCATCGTGACGTATTTAACCATCCTCTACAGTGGATCTTTTTGGATGTCAAAATTTGTTAGATATTCTAATTAGCATTGTAATGGAAATCTTTGTTGCTACATTCCTAATTATTATGACAAATAACTAGTAGTAGGATTTTTAAGTAAAAGAAATGCACCCTTCAAAATATTTTGATATTTGTTAAAACTCTTCCTACTTCATATATATATATATATATATCTTTTTTTGAAAAGCACTCCATGTCATGTTCTCCATGAAGACTGTTTTGAATGTACAGAGCTAGTCTTGCATCCTATTGGTCTTAATACGGCTTCATCAACCCATCTTTAAACTCTTAGGCACCGTAGGGTACAAGTAAGAGAATTCTTTCATGTGCTCATGCTGGAATATATTAATGCATTCAATTTATATGTCTATCTCTGTTTCCTCTCTTTCAAGATTAGTTCAAGGCTATATTCATTGTAGGAAGTCAAGAGCGTGTTTTTTGTGGATCCCATTCATTTGGAAAATAACATACAGACTACTCATGAAGAAAGTCTTGGGTACCTTATTTAATTTTCAAATTCCCTGTGTTCTGCTTGGAAATGTTTATCTTAGAAGAAGGTAGACATTGTTATCTTCACAGCAGAGTCATTATTCTGCAAAGAATGAGTGAAATTGTCTGGTCATTTGTAAAACAAGCCTTCAAATTCTATTTTGCTAAACTATTTAGCTTCAGGGGGGGTTGTGGCCATTCCAAAATTAAGTTTCTTTTTTTCTCAGAGATTTTTCTTCTCTGCCAGACCCTGTTTTTGCCATACAATAATCATCATTGATTTCTTAATTGTGCTCTTGATTTGTATGTAACAAAATAGGGCAGCAAATTTGATTGGAATGATTCGGGCTGTGTTGTCTGTGTGTGTGTTGTCACTGCAAGGGGCTTCTTCCCCTCCAGTTTGTAGGACAGGGACATGTTATGCACACTCCAAGGTGGCCATCCACTGCCCCCTCCTTCACGCACACGTGCCACACGTGCACACACACACACACACACAAAAAAAAAAAAAAAAAAAAAAAAAAAACACGGCCTTGTCAGGAATAGTTAGGCGATCTTTTTCTTTTCTTTTCTTTTTCTAAATCCAAATGACTTTATTTTTCAGGGCATAAAGAGCACCTGTGAGTAAATGCAGCTCTAGGTCTGAAGCCGAGGTTGTGGAGTTGTGCTTCTCTTCATTTAATCATTAGCTTAATAATCAAAGACACAGAATGACAGAGCTCAAAGTTACCTGGGAGCTGGGCTCACCTGCTGGAAGGCCAGTGTTTTGAGCCACCAGTTGCTGCCCAGCTGCCGTGTCCCACACGACCGTCGACCACATTTGTGAGACGTTTGCCCAGGTCTGGCTAGCTACCCTGGGACGGAGGCAACAGCTGTGGGAGGTGTCCGTGGAGAGCCAGAGGAGTGGGGCAGGAGAAGAGCTCTTTGAGCACCCCTGACAACCTAGCTTACAGTTCACGGGAAGAGAGAAGTCCAGCCGGGCACGGTGGCGCACACCTGTAAACCCAGCAGCTCAGGAGGCTGAGGCAGGAGGATGGCAAGTTCAAAGCCAGCCTCAGCAAAAGCAAGGAGCTAATCAACTCAGTGAGAACCAGTCTCTAAATTAAACACAAAATAGGGCTGGGGGTGTGGCTCCGTGGTTGAGTGCCCCTGAGTCCAATCCCCCGTTACTCACACCCCACCCCCCAAAAGAGAGACGCCTGTAAAATGGTAATAAGTCCTCAGCTCCTGGTTCTCCCCAGAGGGGGCTTCTCTTCCAGTCTCAGTCCACATCAGTGACTCTGGATCTCAGCTCTTTCCCATTTAACTCCCTCCCTCAGAGGACGGGGCTTTCCATGGAGACAGTTTTCTAGATGCAATGAGCACCTTCAGTCTGTAAGCAGAGCGGGCTCCGTGCACCTTCCCTGCTGACTGATACACACATGGGAAAGAATCACTTCTTCAGAAGGAAAAGGAAAGTTCATGGAAAGTTCTTTGTAAGATTTTAAAAATGGGGAGCACAGTGCATCTCTTGGGATCCATCCAGGGACCCGAGCGTCTTGGAGGAGGCGGAAGGGATTTATTTTAGACATTTCCTCTGGCATAGAGCAGGAAGCAGGTGAGGAATTTATGGGAGCTGTTGCCTCTGCATATGGGGGTGTGACTGAAGCCAGGGCAAGTAGTGGGGCTGGCGGTGACAAGAAGCCGGGGACAGGCTGAGCTGGAGTCCATGAGGGGAAACGGGAACTTACAAATTTTTATTTGCATTGCATTCAATTCCTGAAATTAGGGTGACTGATGCCCCATGTATGACCCTCAGTGAGGGCCAGAGGTCTCCCAGGGGGAGGGCGTGGGAGCTTCGGACCTTGCAAACCTGGATGCTTCCCCATGGCAAATGGAGGTGGGGTGCCTCAGCAGCCTCTTCCCGAGTGGCAGCGGGAGCTGGCGCCCACCCCAACCTCACGCCACATCCCAGGCATGTTTCCCTCAGGCCAGCGTCCCCACAACAGGACAGGACGTCCAGCAAAGGCGCTCCTCCGGGCTCTGTGGACACAGGACAAAACCCACCCAGCAGTGATGGTTTGGACTCCTTTTCCACTTGGCCTTGAACTTCATATCTGAGAGATTAACAAGCGGCTTCAGGTTCTCATACTCTGCTCCTCTATATCCCCATTTCTTTTTAAAGATGTCATAACATCTAATGCAGATGTCCTTCCTCGTGTTTCCCCACCTAGGAAGCTGCTGATGATCCTGTAGCAGGGCACAAATGCCTTGCTCCAAGAAGTTTCCTGTGTGCTCAGAGACAAGACTTGACTGTGGCGCCTGGGACCGAGCACCGTGCACTGTGGCTCCTTGCACATGTCATGCGGCAAGCAGCTCGTTCGTGGCAGGAATTCGCCTTCTCCGAGGCAGCCGTTCTCTTTGTTTTTCCTCTCACCACATAGAAGTAAATGTGTTTGACATACAATAAAAATCACCTGACTTCACTGTGTTGTGGAGTGGACATGAGGGCCTGATGATGGCCACAGGTTGTCAGGAATTCCTGCAAGATCACGTAGAATAGGAACATTCCTTATCCTACCTTGACAAAAATACCTTCCATGATGTCGAGCAATCAGAACACACTCATCGAAATTGTCAATCAGACACGTATTTTCAGGAGTGAAACCGCCACGTGGGCTGTCCTGATCTCAGCTTCGGCCTCACTCTGCCAACTCCTCGTAAGGCCGGTGACTGAGCTGCCTGTGGCAGACCACAGGATGAGCTATAGACCACACAATACCCTGTGGGTCACACAGCAGGCTCCAGACTACCCCAGACTACACCCTGCTCTCTAGCTTGCACTGCATGTTCTAGAGATCATGACCCACTCTCAACCCGCCGACCGGATCTCGACTACACAGCACACTCGACCACACCACACATTCTAGACGGTACCACAGCCCTAGTGTGCACTGCAGGTTCTAGGATCACAACGCACTGTAGACTATACAACATGCCCTAGGCCACACGACCTATTCTAGATCACAGTGCCTATGTTCTAGATGGTGCCTCTAGCAATGCTCTAGTCCACATGGAATGTTCTAGACCATACCGTGTGCTCTAGTCTGCACTGCATGTTCTAGGGTACACGGCATGTGGAACAAGGTCATCGACACAGACGTTTTTAGACATAGCAGGACTCATTCAGGATTGAATGACACTTGTAAATAATAATTAAATTTTAACAAGTACTCAATTAACAATTAAAATAGAAAAATATGGAAAACACATGATTTCAGTTGGGTGGATAGCAATATAAGAGTTAGAAATGAAATACTGAAATTCATTCCTTAGGACTCTAGAATATAGGAAGATATAGGATACACATTTTATAGAGATGCCTAACTTAGTTAATTAACTTAATGCCATCACAGAAAAGTGCAACTATTATTTTCTACAGAGAAGATAATTGTAAAATATACATAGAAAATACACCAGCAACGATTCTTGGAAAATAAATAGGAAAAAGAAGAGCTGATGGTGGGTGGAAGGCATCTAGACCTGCCAGGAACTAACCCTGGTGATAAAGTCTTCATAATTAAAGCAGTGTGGTCGTGGGCAGGAGAACACTGGATCATGGTGGCAGGTGTAGACATTGTAAGTGAGCACAGTCTCCTGGTGTTCAAAAGATACTCTACAATGAAAGGGACCTGTGTTCCTTGGAGAAAAGGCTCCTCACAGGGCTGTTGCAGAAATGGGGTGACATGCATGTGGAATGTGTTGTGTGCCAGGAAGTCCATTATATTATATAAAACATATTTAACATAAATATAAACACATTTTTGAATGCGTTTGAAATTTTTGGTAATAAAATGTTCTTAAAATGGTTCTCAGTGAAATGATTAAACACTTAAATAATTTATTTTAACTCTAAAATTAGTCTTATTTTAAAATATACTTTTCAAAATTTTGGGCTTGACATTTGGTGTGGGGAAAACCGAGACAGTGGTGCCGCAGTCCGGATGCAGCAAAATAACCGGCGGGGTGAAGAGCAACTTGTGTAGATTGATACAGCAGGAGTGGGAGCCGTTTATTGTAGGACAACAGAGGTATTTATACATTCCACACAGCTTATCTAATTAACATAAACTAGAGACAGCAGTCAACCAATAAGGAATCTCCACACTTAATGGCTCGCTGGCGTTACTTCACAAACCACTCTCTCTGCAAAATGCCAGGCGCCATCCAGACTTGTTTACAGACCCTAACACAGTGGTAGAGAACAATAGGTCAGCTCTGCTTGTAAACGCAGCTCCTTTTAATAGCGCACATGCGAGGCAGCTGGTTGAGTTGAAGCTCCTGGGGAATTTTCTTTAGGCTGGCACAATGTATCCAGGAGCAATCATGCTGTTCTTCATAGAATCAAACACCCATAACAGAACGTCCAGAGAACATACATCACAAGTTCATTTCCAACATCAGGGATGAGTTTGAGTTGCACCATCTACATCTTTTTCTTGGAAAACAGGACACAAATAAAAAGACTAGATGCCATACCAGCATACAGGCCCGTGCCCAGAATCTCAGCTACTCAGAAGACTGAGGCAGGAGGGTGGCAGGTTCAAGGCCTGGGAAACTTAACAAGACTCTGCTTCAAAATAAAAAGGAATTGAGATGTAGCTTGAGGGAGAAAGAAAGAAAAGCTCTATAGTATTGTTTACTTGAAAGGGAAACTTTATTCCTGGCACATCTTTGGTGATGACTTTAATTAAAGTTCAGATGTTGATGACCACATCTCATGGGTTTATTAAAATACTGTGCAAGAAAACTGTTTCAGTAATAGGGAAGATAGAAGGACAGACACATTCTCTTAGACTCTGGCACTTAGGTGCCACTGCCATTTCCCTTCTCCCTTTTAGTGTGAAGATTGACCAGTCCACCCATGATGAGCAGCCCCACTGCAGCTGAACGAGGCCCACAGAACCCGGGAAGGCAGCCTCCCCTTTGCGCACCGTGACAGTGGCCTTCCTGAGCCGCCCTGCTCCTGTGTGCTCCGATCCTGGTCTGTTCTGAGTGCCGGGTGAGGAACAGCAAGGCGGTGCCTAGCCAACAGCTGGCCTTGGGACTCTGCAAGGGAACTGTCAGGGCAAAGCGGCTGGTTCACACTGTGCTTCACTGTGGAATGACTTTTCCAGGGAAGGATCCCAGAAAGTGGGTGAAAGCTTTAAAACTCAAGCGTCACAATATGATTTTTAAGGTTCATTTTAGTTTCTGTGTATTTTTCCTTAAGAAATCCAGATTGCTTAAGATACAGGGAAACCTGGTGGTATTAATATAATAATAACATATAATACCTGGGGATACAAGATCTTGAATTTTTATCTTCTTTTTTGATACTGGTAACTGAATCCCGGTGCGCTTTACCCCTGAGCTACACCCCAAGCCTTTTTCAATTTTTTTTCATTTTGAGACAGGGTCTCCCTGAGTTGCTTAGGGCCTCGCTAAGTTGCTGAGGCTAACTTTTGCAATCCTCCTGGCTCAGCCTCCCAAGTCACTGGGATTACAGGTGTGCATCACCATGCCTGGCTTTATATCTGTCTTTTGAAACATAAATTTATGTATCAGATAATAAAGTACTCTGCCCCAGGAGTCTCAGTCCTTGCCCTAAAGAATTCCTAGAGAGACACAGTAGAAAAATGAGTTTATAGAACTATGGGAGTGAAAGAACCTAAATTTAAAAATAGGGCATAAAGGAAATTTAATAAGAAATAAATTAATGGAGATAGACATTCAAATAATGAAGAAAAACTAGGAAGAAGAGGGTGCTATCTTCAAACACAATACAGACAAATAATATGTTAAAAAATGTGGGTAAATATGTGGGTCACATGGAATAGATTATTTCTTGGCTCTGACCCCCAGGTAAGTCTTGTAAAAATTACCTTTTATGCCCTGTGTCACAGGTGAGTGTTTCCCATGACTGCGCATCTAGGTTGCCTGCGGCAGGCCAGGTGCAGGCATGCTGTCCCCACATAGGTGGTCATTGCATACTTTGTCACTCTTGAGAATGTCTTCTTAACAAATTCTGTGAGTCGTCTGTGTGTGATATGTTGCTTTCCCTCTGTTTACAGTGTGTCTGTGTGAGAGAAAGGAAAGATTAGAACTTTCCTAACATGCCTCCCAAAACATGGTTTTTGCTTGGTCCTTGATCTCGTGGGGTTCCGGTGTTTGTTCACTCTCAGGCAACTTCCTGGAGGAATGGCCCTGGTAGGAGGTGGGTGGAGTGGTTTAGCCAACACTTGGCTCTTTCAGGGTCCTCCCTGGCTCTGGAGCTGCCCCTGCCCCTGTGCCTTTTACTAAGTGAGCCAGCTTCAGTGGGTGGAGCTGCCTTTGTGCCCCAGTATAGACACTTGCGCCCCCTCCCCTTCTTGAATGTTTCACACTATCAACAAATATTTGTCACGCACTTATTATTTTGCAAGCATAATGGTGCAGCAGTCTGCTAGTACAGGAGGGGCACTTTTCAAAGCAACTGACACAACGAAAACACATTTGAGACACTTACAGATGAAATAGCTGGCTGAAAACTGGAAGGAGACGCAGTTGCTCTGTTTCCCTGACAAGCGGCAGAAGCCGGAGCTGGAGGGGTGTGTCAGGAGATGGCACGCTGGCAGCTCCATTAGTGGCCGGAGAAGCCAGGCACATTCAGAGCGGAAGAGCTGCATTAGTCGGGTGTCCACAGAAGTGTGTGACACAATCTGGTTCTGCCATCAGGACTGAATGTGCTTTTCCCAAATATGCTCCACTGAGGACCCAAAGGACGCGGAGACGGTGATTCCTGCCACGCACGGCCCCTGCCACCTCAGGTGCTTCCCATGAACAAAACACAGACCTTGATGAATGAAAACGGATGGTTTTGAACTTAATTAAGCTGTGACTCTGATTCCAGCTGTTGTTCCAGACGTAACTTATTTGCAGGAGAAAATAAACAGTCCCTGATACCTGGCATGTGTTGTCGCTCTGTTGGGGTTTTCTTTACACGTGCCAGGAAGAGACCACGGAGAGCATTGCTCCAGTTTCCAGGGCAGAAATATGCCTCCAGGATTCTGTCTTGGGACCACATTAGCACTGCAGCCCTCCGTGGAATCTCAGGAACATTTCTCTATTCAATAAGTCATCACATTGGACCTCGTGCCACCGTCAGGCTGATGGGAATTGGGAGGAGGAAGCAACAACTTCCCAAGTTATTTTTGAAAAAAAAAAATGCATGTGTATCGGAGGCTGAGAAGTAAATTTCACTAACATTCATGGTCTCATCTTCTTGCTGAAATATCTAGGAGGCATGTCCTTTCCAAGGTGACAGAGAAGTTGCTACATGTTCCCCTTCTAATTATTAAAAGAGACAAAATGTCAAGGGAACATCTTTGAACTTTGAAAGCCAAATGTCTTCAGGTTAGGAATAATATGAAAGATGGCCACTGTTGACTGGTACTTAGCACAAGAG